AGGTCAGTCTGACAGTTCATGAGTTTGAGCCATGCATCAGGCTCTGTGCTGATAGTCCAGAGCTTGGAGCCTGTTTCAAATTCTGTGTCTCCCTCTGTCTCTGCCCCTCCCCTGCTTGTTCTCTGTCTCTCTTTCTCTCAAAAATAAATAAACATTTAAAAACATTAAAAAAAAAAAAAAGAATTGGCAGAGCTAAAGAAACAGCATCTAAGCATCCAAAATTATTCTAAAAATCATACCACAAAACTGAATTGCCAGGAGAGAGGCTTACTCTGCCACAACCTGGAAGCTTCCAAGGCAACTTCAGCCTTGATGATTATGCTACTTCTGCCATCATCCATGCCAAGAAACGTGGGCTTTCATGTTCTGCCTTTCTCCCAGTTTCATTTATTTATTTATTTTTCTCCCAAATTCATTTATTTCCAAATCAGTGTCTCGCATGACTTACCCAAGCTAAGTCACATCTGGAACTGTGTCTGCAGAGCTTCCTGAAAAATGACTCTAGTTTTCTAGTCTCTGAAATTTGAAGGCACACTAGGGTGAAGTTAGTGTCTGGTGCAACTCCCCATCATATCTGTTACAGCATTTTTTTTTCTCATACAAAATAATCTGTGAGATTCTGGAAACACAAACCAGCATGGCTTTTGATCCAATGTGCCAGAGACAGCACAAAGTCATAGTAAAGAGATTCTCGTGTTTCAGTGGAAGGCAACACACAAATTTGAAGGGAATGAATAAACAGTAGCAATAGCACCCACATCAGGAGGCTGTTGTGTAAGTGTCCTCAAAAGCACAGAAACACCATAAAATTTAAAAACAGACAGAGGCAATTCCAATTGTGGGAGTATTTTGTTTTCTGATGTTGGTGGTACAGGCAGAAGTGAGGTGCATTTATGTGGTTTCCTCTGGCAGATTAACTCATTCATTAACAGGCTAAAATGACTTGCTTTTGAACGTAGCAAATGAAGCTATGCGTAAAAAAGAATACAAGTAAAAAATAAGGGAAACTTATAGTAGGCCTACGGACTACTCTGATAAGGTTAATAATAAAGAAAACACTAATTCTTAGTGGTTTGTACATGTTCCGGAAATAGAAATTTTCCTAATTCTTCCATGCTTTGTGGCCAACAGCTTACATAAGAATCAATGGCTTCAGAAACATTGACAAGACTTTAAAAACAAATGAGAATCATTTGACAAGTAAAGCTATGAGTTATTTTAAACAACTACTGAAATCTCATATTAAAACTTAAGGGAAGTAATGGAAGAAAGAAAGGGAAGGAGGGAAGGAAGGAAGGAAGGAAGGAAGGAAGGAAGGAAGGAAGGAAGGAAGGAAGGAAGGAAGATGAAAAGACTACAGAATCTCAGAAAAGGAAAAGTCATGTAGTTTTTAAGTAACTAATAATGCTAGCAGGTAAAAATATAGTCAGTAAAATGCTAAGAAAATATATAGTTCAATATATGGAAATTGTTCCATCCTCAAACAGTGTAATAAGGTGATATATTGATGGCATGCAACATATGCTGAAGAAATTTATGTGAAACACCTCTATATTGAAGATGATGAGTGAACAGATTTCCCCAGGAAATGTCTTGCATTTACAAGATTTGTAAATCATGGTTAAATTCAATAAAATATTTTCTGCTGTGAAAGCCAGTGGAAATAAATAATGACCAAGATATATTTAAAATGTGGCCTTCATATCTGGAAATAAAAATATGTGTCAGCATCTGTACAAATAGTACCACATCAATGATTGGTTTTATTAAGGGTTTCACTTCTCTTGCAAAAAACAAACAAAAAAACCCTCGCATCACATTTTTCACAGAGAGGTGCTATTGTCAAAAATTCTTGGAAGTGAAATATTACTTGAGGATGTTACAAAATGGTTTTTTAAACAAAGATGAGTTCACTCAAGAGCACTTGAAGTACATGAAAACTTTGACCAAGAACATATAAATCTTGTGCAGCACACAGAAATTTGGTAGCTTAGCCAAAGAAGAGTTCTCAATGAGGTGTTTGAGCTGAAAGGTAATTTGGAGAAGTCATTTTCATAAAAGTAACATCAGGCTTTGATGAGTATTTTGAAGATGAGGCATGACTACAGAAATTAGCTGACTCTCAGATATTTTTCATCACATGAACTTATGGAATAAGGACCCAGTGTCATGTGGAATATGTTTTGTCTTTGAATGACTACAGTCATTGCTTTAAAAGGAAACAATCTTTGGGCAAATCATTCTGCAAAGGAAATGTGGAAGTGTTTCCGGTTTTTCGGTCTTGATAGGGAGGGAGAATATCAGAATATTCTAAATATTATTGAAAACCACCTGAAGGAGCTACATATCAAAATCGAAGAGAATCATGCCCTGCTTTTCAATACAAGTGAATGACTGGGAGAGGGACGTCTTATGTAAATCTTCTGTTCAGTCAGACAGTGGATTTTAGCAAAGAGGAAGAACTTTGTGAGCTGAAGGGTCCTCATTCACTTGAGATGAGATTTGCTGATCTTTCCTAGATGAAGTCTGGATTTCTGTTCTGCCATTAGTATGAAAGCAGTAAACATTTTGCTGAAGTTTTCCGCAACTTGTATAGGCGAACAGGCTTTTTTATTTTCTTTTATTTTGTTTAGTAAGAATCATGAGCAAGGACAGAAATCATTTCATTTAACTTGAAAATGAAATCTGTGTGTGTTAACTCGAATTTGACCCCAATTGAGTACTTGTAGAGAAAAAGGAATTTCTTGTAGAGAAAAGGGAATAATTCATATTAATAAGTTTTAGTTCATTTTTATTTTTAGTTTCAAAAATAACTTTGAATTTATAGATGCATCTATGAAAGGCTACACATGTCTATAATAATTTTGTACTGCTAAATTGCTACTTGAGCCCGAACATGTCCCTTAGTATAAAAATATTGATTGGCACATGACTTGTGTCAAATTTGCCACAGTCTGTACATTTTAATTAAAGCTTCTTTGGTTTAGTTTTTGTAGTTCTGCTATTCAAAATGATAAAAAAATGTTATAAATAAAATTCATTAAAATCAATTTATGATTTTTATATAAATTTATTCTCTTGAGTCTTTCAAAAAAATTAAATCCCATTTTGACTTACCATAGCCATTAACCAAAATGTGTTGTTTGCCTTATGCATTTATAAAATTTATGAAAAAGAAAGAAGTTAATACAAAAATAACCATAAGTGCCTTGTGGGGGATGTTCTTGAAAAATTGACTAAAACCCACTTATTTAATATAAAAAATAGTCCAAAAGATACCATGTAACATATGTCATGTACCACAATAATCTTGTGGAGTAGAAATTTATAATATGACAATTAGGCCTATTTGGATGAGAAAAATGGATTTAAAATAGAAAATTTGTTTGAAAAACAAAAATTAAGAAAAAAAAACCCTGAAGGTATTTTTACCAGCATTTTTGACTTTCATTGGAATTGATGTCCATGGTGGAATAGAGAATCATATAAATAAAGTATGCCAATAAACTGGCCAAAATAAACAGATTCACAGAAAAAAAAAATTCCCTTCACTATTATTATGGGGTTATAATCTCTATAATTTATTGATCACACTAATGCATATAGGCATTATAATTTTGTGCAAGGGCTAAAAATATTTAAATGGCTCCTTCAGGGTAAAAATATTAAAGGAAGCTGATATCCAATATGTAATATTTATTCTGAGCTTTAGTCATCTATGATTTTTTTCAATTAAAAATATTACTGAGAAGGTAAAGCTCATGAATGCATAATCAATATAGATAAATATATTACAGTAGTTATTTTTTTAATGTTGCATAGTATATACCCTCTTGCTGTATAAGAAATAAATTGTATTTTATTTTTTTAAGTGTATTTATTTTATTTTTGAGAGAGAGAGAGCACATGTGGGAGGAGCAGAGAGAGAGGGAGAAAGAGAATTTCAAGCAGACTTCTTGTTGCCACCACAGAGCTTGGCGTGGGGCTCAAACCCACGAACTATGGATCATGACCTGATCCGAAACCAAAAGATGGACGCTTGATCTACTGAGTCACCCACAGGCCCCAGAAATGGATTTTAAACAATCTTACGTGGAAGACTAGTTAGCATTTCATAAGTCTATAATTTCTGAATGAGAAGGGGATCTATAACCTGTTGTAACAAAGATGAAAAGCTTCCAGAATCTCTTGTGTTAAAAATACACAATCAAACAAGTAAACAAATAGTACTTCAAAGTGTGAAATTCGCCTCCAAACAAATAAGACCACATATGTTATTTTTGATCCATGAAATTAGAGGAAGAAATGCCAGTAGACACAGAAATCATGTTTGAAAGACAAATATTGCCTAAGATTTCACAAGGATTAAAAATAAAAACAAAAATAAGAAAGACCAGACAGGAAAGGGAGTGGGTTGTCTGAAATGGCACAGCTGTCTCCAGAGAAGTTGCAAGTTTTTCATTATCACACAGTCTTTAACAGCCAAAATGTGCATCTCAACATGAAAATCACACAGCCCTCTAAATACAGGATGGGAAGCAATTTCTCACTCCGAAACTCTGCCTTTGAAAAGCTACCTATTAAACAATTTGTGTTCTAGAAATAGAGAATGTGTGTTTGTTGTTGGCTCAGGCTCTGCTTTATTTCTCCAAGGTCAGACTTAAAAAAAAAAAAAAAAAGGATTAAAGGGACACTGAGGTGACTCAGTTAAGCATCGTACTCTTGATTTTGGCTCAGGTCACAATCTCAGGTTTCGTGAGTTTGAGCCCCACATCAGGCTCTCTGCTGTCAGCAACAGAACCTGCTGCAGATCCTCTGTCCCCCGTTCTCTCTCCACCCCTCTCTGGCTCATGCTGTCTCTCTGTCTTCCTCTCTCTCTCTCTCTCTCAAAAATAAACAAACATTTAACAAATAAAATTTTTAAAAGGCATTAAAATCAACATTACAGCCATGGAACTTGAAAATCTGTTACTAAAAGTAATATACATGAAAGAGAATCCTCATGTATAAATCCATATTAATTCTATTAAAATATGTACATAATTACATGGAACATAATTTTACAAGTTGTTTGAGAACCTATTTTATCTTTGTCTGGTAATTAATTCTTTGGAAGTACTACAGTCAGAGTTTTTTCCTCAATAAGAAAAGCTTCATCCATACATACCTACCACCTTTTCATTCTCATGGTTCCAGGTGACTATAAAAATCACATATGGCTGGTATTGTAGGATTAGAATATAAAGGGGTAGATACAATTTCCTTAGCCACATGGCTAATGAAAACTCCTTCCTCAAAATGAAATTATACTCCTCTTCCTCCAGTCTTAAAGTATTTCCTTGTTCAGTTGGTGTGAGTATCAACCACTAAAAGGCAAATGGGAGTGGAGGCAAATGGGAGTGGAAAAGTGAGAAATTTTGAAGAGAAAGAATAAAGGAAAAGGAAGAAATAAAAAATGGAGGGGAATATTTGCCCCCATTGTGACAAACGTCAACTCACAAGACTCTTTCCTTTAGGATTACTAACAACTACTCTTCATTTTTATTTTAGATGCTGTTTATTACTTGCATCCTGGTAACATGGTAATCCTAAAACTTCAAGAAATATTCTCCAAAATGCTGAATATGTCTGGAATTAGTAAGTAAAACCAAATGTTATAAATGTGTAGCTCATTATCATATAATTTGCGTAATAGTGAAGATCAAATCTGATGACGTGTATCCACATACCATTAAAATCTGCTATGATTAGCTTAACTATTACTAGTTTTAGTATCATTTCATGCCTATGGCACTGTAAAGATGACCATAACATATAAATATACTCTATTCATTTGAATGCCCTAATCAGAATAATGAAAACAACCCAAACTCAGTAGATTTACAGTGGGGGATAGGAGAGAATACTAAAAACTCTCAAGCAATAATGATGCATCTTAGTTTTTGAACATTTTATTAAGATACAATTTATGTACCATAATATTCACCCACTTAGCTGAACAATTCTATGGCTTTTAGGTATTTTTACAGAGCTGCACACCATAACCATAATCTAATATTAAAACATTTTATTTATAACACAAAGAAATCTCATAACCATTTAACTGTTGCCCCTACAGAAACCCCAGGAAAGGACTAATATACTCTCTGTCTTTATAGATTTGTCTATTCTGGACATAGGATCATATAATAGATAGTTTCCCATCAGCTGCTTCCACTTAGCATTATTTTTGGAGGTTTATCTATGTTGTAGACTGTTGTGCACTGTATTTTTTATTACTATATTCTTTATTATTATTATTAATATTATAAATTATTACTAAACATCCTTCCCTATCTATTTTGTGGATTATTTTCACTTTTTAGCTATTATGCATAATCCTGAATAACAGCTACCTTGAAGAATTAAACAATAGTAAATTGATAAATAGACATATGCTGGCCATCCTGGAACAGAACCTTGTTTCCCAAGAAAACTGTTACAAAGACACAAATCAAGGTTATATTAAGATATAGTTGAACTTTCACTAGATATGATCCAGTTTCTCATTTTATAAAGCATATGGACATAATGTTATTTGTCAAAGTCTTTATTTTCTTACCAATTATTTGGTGTTACACTGGACATCTGAGAATTTAACTTTTAGGCTAGAATCTAATATTTTTCTGAATCCTTGATTCTATTAATAGGGTCAAAGTATAATTTTCAAAAGTTAAAGACATTAAACTCATACAAATATAAAACCTGTGCGTGTCAAAGTTGTACTTTACTCATGAATGAGGGAACAATAAAATAGTAAAAGTGGTTCTAAGGGCATTTTAGAAACATAATTTATAGGCATTAGAAGAAGAAGAATGTTAGAATTAAGATTCTGTCAGATACTAAGCTAAGGGCAATAAAATCATAACCTTGGGGATTGTTACTTTTTTTCCACGACAAAAATCTTTAGGTTAACGAAACAAATCTGTTATCTTGACTTTAATCAGCATGTAAATAAAAAGTCAAACACTGGTAAATTTTCCTGTAGAATAAAATAATTCATGAAAATGCCATTGTAGGACATTAAAAAAACATCCTGACACATTTTCCACCCTTATCTATTTTCTGACTTTTGGAAAAATTTTCTTAATAACACTGTGCTACAGGAAGTTGGTAGATGTAGCTAATGTTACAAACTTTGTTATTACTGAAAATATTTTTCATCTTTGTGTTGTATGTGTTTTGGTAATCACTGAAAGAGTAATATTGGGGCACCTGGGTGGCTAAGTTGGTTAAGTGACCAACTCTTGATTTCTGCTCAGGTCATGATCTCCCTGTTCCTGGGATGGAAACCCACCTCTGGATCCACCCTGGGTGTGGAGCCTGCTTAAGATTCTCTCATTCTCTCTCTCTCTTTCTCTCTCTCTCTCTCTCTCTCTCTCTCCCTCCCTCCCTCTCTCTCCCTCTTCCCCCCGACCACCCATTTACACACATGCTTATATGCTTACACACGCTCTCACTCTCTCTCTCAAAAAAAAAAAAGAGTAATACCATATTACCTTGAGGAAAGCATAATTTTACTTGCTAAGTTTCCATGACTTTTTTATTTTCTAACTTTGTGTGTTTGAAAATGTTCCTTTTAATAGTTAAATTTAGTTAATATAATAGAAGGTTTGTCTTATCTATAGCTAAGCAACAAATCTTAGCATAAAAACAAACACATGAAACTACTGAATAAATTGGACCATGGCATGGGAAAATCTCTCTTAATGTTTTAATTGATCTCTCCATTATCCAGGGCATTATTAAAGACCTATCCTATCATGTCTATTTAACAAGAGAATCAGGCAAAATTAATAACCTGTGAAAGTAAAATGCCAAGCATTTATTAAATCAAGGTACTATGTGTGGTTACTTTTATATTCCTGCCCTGAAGAATGATATAAAAAATTATAGGAAATTTTAAGATGCACACCTAAAGAGTTATTGATTTGGAAAGTACAACTGACAAATTATAGTTTGTAAGTCATATGGAGTCACATAAAAATCACATGGCATGAGCTACAGTCTCCTGTATGGAGGCACACTTCTGCACACAGGCTATGCTCTAATACTAATAGAAATTCCAAATACTGGCCCTGATCCATTCTCCACTTATCCTGAAATTAACAATAATGCAAGCAATAATGGTGATATCCATTGATTTAGCTAGTTTTCTGCTCTTTTTTAAATTTTTTTAATGTTTATTTATACTTGAGAGAGAGAGAGAGAGAGAGAGGGAGAAGAGGGGAGGGGCAGAGAGAGAGAGAGAGAGAGAGAGAGAGAGAGAGACAGAGACAGAGACAGAATCTGAAGCAGGCTCCAGTCTCTGAGCTGTTAGCACAGAGCCCAACCTGGGGCTCAAACTCATGAACTGTGAGATTATGACCTGAGCTGAAGTTAGATGCTCAACCAGTTGAGCCACCCAGGCGCCTGGCTAGTTTTCTTTTCTTAAATTGACAGGCCTACCCAACTATATTTAGCAGAGGAAGTAAACTTACTCTTTAGACTCCTCAGCTATTCTGACAACTTCATTCATTTGACTACAAACCTTTTTTAAGTAAACTTGAACAAAAAGCCAATTCCTCATGAAAAGAACTGCGAAAGAAAGTCTTGGAGCAACACATGTAACCTACTCTATCAGCAGCCAGACAAATAGACACATCGCAATTAGTCCCCAAGGAAATTAGACATTACTTATATATGGGGCTGCTGATGTACCATCCAGAATAGACAGTAGAAGTCTGTGCTTAAACTGATGTTATTTAATGAAAAATCATATATTTAATATGGAGACACACTGTGTCAGAGAATTAAATAGAAGCTATAATTTTATTACCTTACTTCCCCCCCTTTTTACAGTGGTTTTAGGGAATTATAATTTCCTCAATTCCCTTTTTTACCCCAAAGTAATAGATTTATATTAAAAATGAAAAAAAAAAAAGGTGTGAAAGGTTATATTTTTCTCCCTTTGGTACCACCATTTTGTTGCTACTGAGGGACTATAGAAGAGGGTGGCTACTACTGTTTCATTAAACCAGGATCTCTGTGAAGTTCAGCTGCAGAACATGTGTTCTACTTTTCTTTTGAAAATGTGCTCTATTAAAACCACATTCTTTTGCCAGTCCAAATTCATGAAAGTCTACATGTCTCTGTTTGAATTATCCAAATTCTGCCTGTGAGGCAACGGATGTAAAGTAAAAATGACGAAGCCACAACACAACAGTCTTGAAAGTTGCCAGTTGTTGTATGGCTGATTGAGATTCGGCAACTGTACCAGTTGAGAAAAGAGCCAAGACAGGTGATAGTGACCAGTATACAGCTGTGTGGAGCCAGCACTCATAGGCTGGTGCCTGTTAAAGGCTTGAAAGAGCCTTCCAGTAATTTTATTGGCCTCAAAACTGGAAGTGGCATCTTGTATTCTTCAATAGAATCCGGAATTGAGGCCTGATGAAGGACTTATTACAAATAAATAATGATATAATATAAAGAATAATACCATACAATTATAATATAATAATAAATAAAATAATTTGTCCCTATCACAGGTAATCTTTCCAATCCCCCAGAACAAATGGGAAGAGAAATAACTATCGTGTCTAATCAGAAATCACTTGCAATTTCAAACAACTATTTATCAGGACCTCTTGAAATAAGACATTCTAATCCTGGAAATTTACAAAAGATGCAATGAGAGAGCATCTACACTACTTTCTGATAGAAAAATTACACAGGTAGAGTAAAATTGAGTACTTTTTCAGTGGTATAAAATATGTTTGGTCAAGGGTCTGTGGTAGCGGTGGTGGAAAGATGTGGCAGGAAATGAAAGGGAAAAGGTAGATTGCTACCAGATCACAGGATTTTTGCTTTCCTGAAAATTTTGGAATTATTTCTGGGAAGTCAGAAGGGTTTTTGAAAAGGGGAAATTACATGATCTAAACTATATTTCAGGAACATAACTGTTGTGCAAGGAAGAATAAACCACTAGCAATATTTCAGTCAAATGGGCACTCTTTCTCGTAAGCAGCATTGCAAATCGCTAAGGCAGTTCAGCTCGACTACTGAAAATAAGGAAAGCGTTAAAAAGTTGTGGGTAGGTCCCATCTGAAGAGAGGATTAAACTATCAAAGGAAAACAAAAGGTTCTAAAAGCTTTGATCTAAAGAATGATTTTAGATCATTCTCACAATGTCCCAGAGATCAATTAATGCAATTCCCCAAGAAAACTCAGAACAGACCTGGCAATCTCCCGGGAGTTTTGGAACTTTCACCCTCTGGAGTTTCGGAACCAGCCAGATTAGAATCTATACCTGTGCATATGGACATCTGTGATGCCAAAGTCATCTTTACCACACATTTTCACATTCTACAAGCTTAACAACTAGTAAAAATATAAAGTTTAAAGACAATACCTCTTCAAAGTCACATTTAATTGTTAAACATTTATGTAAGCTGGGAATTGAGTAGGCCACCTGGCAATTTTACAAGGTGAAAAAATGCTTTACTCAAAATGACAGTTTTTGCTTCTATTTCCCTGGTGTGAGAGTTCACTAATTATTTGCCACTGTAAGTAAGTTTCACAGTGTTAAGAAACTGAACTTAAGATTATTATTGTTCACG